TACCGGAAATGTGGATTTACTACTGGGAGCGTCGATCTTCTGGGAGCTTCTCTGTGTCGGACAAATAAGATTCGCAAACAACATGCCTATTTTACAAAAGACAAAATTTGGATGGATTGTATCAGGACCTATATCACCAAAGGCACAATACTCGAGCATCAGTCAAACTGCTTCATTTTGCGTTTTTTCTCCAGAAATCCAGATACAGCAACAGCTCGAACGATTTTGGATGACGGAAGAATGCATCAAATCCAGACATCTCTCCAGCGAAGAACAAGCTTGTGAAGATCACTTCATGCACACCACTATACGAGAAGAAGATGGTAGATTTAACGTAAAAATGCCAATCAAAAGAAGTATTTCTCAACTTGGAGAATCAAAACACGCAGCTGCGCATCGATTACGTTCAATGGAACGAAAATTCATCAAATCTCCTGAATTAAAGCAACAATACGTTATGTTCATCAACGAATACATATCTTTGGGCCATTGCTCAGAGATATCAGCAGAAGATTCAAATTCATTCCTACATTACTTACCACATCATGCTGTAATGAAGGAAAGTAGCAGCACCACAAAGCTAAGAGTAGTTTTTGACGGTTCCAACAAGACGTCTTCTAATGTCTCAATAAATGACATACTGATGGTCGGACCAAATATTCAACCTGATCTTTTTTCCATCGCTCTCGGCTTCAGGGAACATACGTATGTCATCAGTGCCGACATTGCTAAAATGTATCGGCAAGTAAACATTCATGCAGATCAGCGGAATCTACAAGTTATTCTTTGGAGAGAGGATCCAACGGAATCAATGCGCATACTGAGACTAAACACCGTCACATACGGATTAGCCAGTTCATCATATCTAGCAATACGATGTTTAGATCAATTAGCTCGTGAAAATGCAGTCACGTTTCCACAAGCGAGTCGTGTCATACAACAAAATTTTTATGTTGACAATATGTTATGCGGAGCCGATACAATAGAGGAGTTATCTATTATCAAGCGAGAAGTAACACGAATACTTGAAGATGCAAAATTCGAGCTTCGACAGTGGGTGTCAAATGAACCTTCCATCTTATTGGAGTCTGACGATATTTCTCTTGAATCAATATTACCTATTGGAGAAGAAGTGAAAACACTTGGGCTTTTGTGGAATCCTCAAGAAGATGCTCTTCAATATCGGGTCGAAAATTTGGATGTTCCAATACGAGTCTCTAAGAGAATAATTTTATCAACAATTTCACAAATTTTTGATCCTCTCGGCTTAGTAGGCCCTGTCGTGATAAAAGCAAAAATCCTTCTACAACAACTATGGAAGATTCAAGTTCATTGGGATGAATCTCTTCCTCTTGATCTTCATACCACTTGGATAAAATATATGCAACAGCTTCCTCAATTGAGCACTATCAGCATTCCTCGCCATGCGATGCAAGCCTGTTCAGGACAAATCGAATTACACGGCTTTTGTGATGCATCAGAAGCTGCCTATGGAACTTGTCTTTATATTAAATGTTATCAAAAGGGGAGAAAGCCTACCGTTCGTTTACTCTGTGCTAAGTCTAAAGTAGCACCATTGAAGAGAGTATCCTTACCACGCCTGGAACTATGTGGAGCCTTATTACTTTCACGACTATACAAGAAGGTAACAGATGCATTAACAAAGAAAATAGATTCTACATATCTTTGGTGCAATTCCACTATTACACTTGCCTGGATATCAGGTCAACCTCATCAATGGAAAACTTTTGTTGCAAACCGCATCGCAGAGATACACGAATTAACAAATCAAGCTAAATGGCGACACATAGAATCCAAGCATAATCCAGCGGATATCATTTCTCGAGGCTTAAATCCAGCAGAACTTAAGCAAACCGAACTCTGGTGGAATGGACCTACCTGGCTGCAACAAGACGTCGATGAATGGCCACACGCAGCTGCCGAGGCAGTGACAGAGCTACCAGAAGCTAAAAAACCAACTACCACCTTTATCATTAATATTGGAGAACTTGCAATTTTCGATCGGTATTCATCATTGTCCCGTCTAAAGCGAGTCGTCGCATACATTCTACGATTTAAATATAACGCTCTTAATTCTGAGTCAAGAAAATACGGATCATTAGATGTAGACGAACTTGAAAATTCTATGAACGTTTTATTGAAATACATGCAAGAAAGAGAATTCTCGTTAGAAATCCAGGCATTAAAGTCAAATCGTGAAATTCGTCAAAACAGTCGTTTATATAATTTGTGTGTATTTCTTGATGCTAACGGTCTAATACGCGTGGGCGGGCGATTGCGTAACGCTAATATACCATACTCGCAAAAACATGGAATTGTTATTCCAACAAAACATAAACTAACTGAATTAATCATTAAGGATGAACACTATCGAACATTGCATACAGGTGCACAAGCGCTACTGGCTCACATTCGCACGCGATTTTGGCCTCTATCCGGAAAAACAGCGATACGACGTGTTTTACAAAAATGTATAGTTTGTTTTAGGACACGTCCAATGATAAAAGATCAATTAATGGGAGATCTTCCAGTAGAACGTATAACACCATCTCGAGCGTTTGAAAAGAGTGGTGTTGACTACGCAGGTGCGTTTCGTATAAAAATATCGCGTAACAAAACTGGTAAAGCATATCTCTGCGTTTTCATATGCATGGCTACTAAGGCCGTACATCTAGAATTAGTGAGCGATCTTACGACCACCGCATTTTTAAACTCATTGAAGAGATTTATATCACGAAGAGGAAAACCAAGCGACATATTTTCGGATAATGGTACAAATTTCGTCGGAGCAGACAACGATTTAAAGAAACTTACAAATCTATTGACAAATTCAGGTCACAACCAACAGATTCTTGACTTCACAGCTCAACAATCAATACGTTGGCATTTCATACCTCCTCATTCACCTCATTTTGGAGGACTATGGGAGTCTGCCGTAAAGTCAGCCAAGACTCATATGAAGCGAGTCATCGGAAACGCTTTATTAAGCTTTGAAAAACTCTATACAGTTTTTACCATGATTGAGGCATGTTTAAACTCGAGACCTTTATGCCCAATGTCAGACGATCCATCAGATCTATCATCATTGACACCTGGCCATTTTTTGATCGGCCAATCGTTAATCAATATTCCTGAGCCCGAGGTACAAGAAATCGCTCCAAATCGATTATCACGTTACGAGTATCTTATACAACTTAAACAACATTTTTGGACGCGCTGGAGTAGAGAATATTTGACACAACTCCAACAACGAGTCAAGTGGAACAAACCTAATTCAAATATGGTCTCTCCTGGAACACTGGTATTACTCAAGGATGATAATCTACCACCTTTGCAGTGGCGCATGGGTCGTGTTGTTGAGACACATCCAGGAAAAGACAATTTGGTACGAGTCGTAAGCATAAAAACTTCCAACGGTATCATTAAGCGCTCATTACCAAAGATATGTATTTTGCCTATTGAAGGAGGCAAAATTTAAGTTAAATATATTAGTAATTTACTAACATTGTCTAGTATCGTTCTAAGTTTAGTATCTATGAGTTAGGCCTATTGATGTAATATGAAACATGCATTTTTTCTTTTATCTGACTTATTTTTATCTTAACTTGCGATGCGATAGATTTGAATTGATTTATAACGTAAACTAGTTTTAAGCTACCGATATTTCTGTTGAAAGTCAGAGCTTTCAAGGGGGCCGGTATGTTGAGGCAATAGTCTTATCTTACACTGTATTTTGATTTAGATTATTTATATTGTGTAGCGCTTATAACGCACTCTCTTTTAAATGTGAGGAACTAATTTGTAACGCCCTCTCTCTCTCTGAAGGAGCGCGTGTATTGCGTCACGTAAAAACGATACCCGTGTAAGCCAACAAATAAAGATTTACAATTACTACAAATTTCACACGAATTCTATCACCAAAAAATACACGGACAAACACGTCCCCCAACACATATCTTGAATTTAAGTTTAGTTTAGACTGAGATTATAATTTTACTTAATGAATATTTTATAAAATGTTATGTCTCTTACTGTGATCATACTTAAGTTTAAGTTTAGTTGAGACTGAGATTATAATTTTACTTAATGAATATTTTATAAAATGTTGTCTTTTACTGTCATCATACTTTAGTTTAAATTTAGTTGAGGCTGAGATTTATGATTTTAGTTAAGAGGATGCTGAAGTGGAAGCCGAACTCCGACGCGAAAGCGCCATCATTTCGATGGTACTAAAAAAGAAATGACATTATCGGCGTAGCCTACGGACCTATGCCGCGTAGGTCCGTGTGTACGCATTTGTTTGTAGTGGTAACTCACTACACTGACGTGTGGTCTGTGTACGTGTGATCGGATAGTTTGTAAACAAACGATGCTTGCGCTTGTTTCCTCGACTGAAATTTTGTCGCAAGGCTGCAATATAATATCCAAGAAGACATAGGCGTATACAAGGTGTCAAATAAATATGAATTAAATATGACAAAATAATAAATTAAAAATATACATATAATACTATATATATCACTGAAGAAAAATGTCATATATTTTTCTTATTTTTATTTTTATGTAATAAATACAAAATAACTAATTAATCAATTAGTTAATATATACATATACACATATATTGAATAAATAGTTATTTTTATTTTGTATTTTATATGATAATGATTGAAATAATGAGAGTATATATCATTTCAGTCATTATATAAAATATAAAATAAAGATAACTATATTCAATATGTATATGTATGTATTGAATAATTAATTAAGTTATTTATTTATTTTGTATTAATTACATAAGAATAAAAATAGGGAAAGCATATAATATTTTTTTTCCAATTAAATATATAGTATTATATATACATTTTTCAAATAAAATATCTTATCATATCTAATTTATATCTATTAGACACCTTGTACAAGT